TGATATCTAATCACCCTAATATCCAATCAAATTCCATCTCCCCCTCATACCCCAGGTTATATCGTGATTACCCTGGCCTGCTGTCAGCAAGCATCCTAAGACTGCTTAACCAGAATTTCCTACCACCCCCAATGTTTACTCTTCGTAATTTTTCTCCCATGGATCCCCACTCTGCTCCTTGGCTGTGAATCCCCACTTGTCCATGCTGTACTGGCAATTGAGCCCAGTTCTATACTGAAGTCTCTTTATCCCTAATGCAGTCATTTTTGAATAAAATCTGTTTTACTACTTTACTATCTGGCTCTGTTTTTTTTTGAGGTGGGGAGCGGGCGGGGACAGTATCAATATCACAAATCTGGAAGAACAATTACTATCATACCTGCACAATGACAAATATTTCAACTTGCAGTTGGATAAAGCCAATTATATACAAAATGTAAATTGGTGCTTCATGTACATATAGAATATCCGTGAAGGAATGATATTTGACAGTTTTTTGTCCTACTTAGTACTGAAGACTCAGGATATGGAAAGATACATTGGGATCAGGGCTAATAGAACACAGTTGTGTGAAAAGGAAGGCAGTGCATTGCTATTCAAATAAAAGAAGTGGCCCCTAGTGGTAATTTACATTGTTATATTTACAGAGAACAGTGATGATCAAAAATATGCCATTTGATTTTTGTTTATTGAAGGAAAGAGCTGATAATTAATATTATCAACTATAGCTTTTGAGTATATTTCTGCCTTTTTGATAAATCACGTGAGGAATTGGGCAGCAAGTATAAATCTGACTATGAGGAAAAAAGATGTTCATGTGAACTTTTAAAATGAGAAAGATAAAAATATTTTTTCACAATGCTGATAATTCTAATAAGACCATTTTGAGTAACTTTCTGACTGACATGTCACAGCAGCATATTTATTTAATACGTTGAACTGTTCAAACCTTCATATTAGGCTCAAGATACCCCATTTTTTAAATTTGCAGATGAGAGATTAGGAATTCTTTTAAGAAATCTGAACTGTGATATAAATGGTTTAAACTTTGATGCTTCCCAATACTATATTTAATAATTTCTTTACTTTTGGAGAAATAACATGATTTATTGTCATATATGTTTAAGAATCATATTACTCCAAATGCAATATTGCATACATAATGCTTCATGAAGAAAAATGAAGAAATATTTTTTAGAACTAAATGCAACCAGAGTTGGATTAGGAATCCATTAACTCTACTTCCCAAGTTGAAACAATGAAACCGTCTGCTTTCATTTGTGATATGCTTATCAATTTAATGCATGATAGAGTTCTGAAACTCATCATCAGTGAGGAATCTTTATAATTTTTAGGTTAAAATAGTCCAAATATCCACAATTTTTTGAGAAAACCATCAAATATTTTTTGTCATCCAACAATCTTTAATTGGAAATCAGGATTTTCTAGTTTGGTAAAAGTATTAAGAATAGAAATTGATTGGATGTGGAATTCAAGATCTGGCTCAAAGTCTTTGTAGTTGGGCCAGTCTGACAGCTTGGTAAGTGTACAAAGAATTCAATCTCTTTTGCTGATATGGGACAACAACAATAACAACAACAAATATGTTTTACAAAAAATAAAGATTTCCTTTGGCTATTGGGGCACTAAGACAATTTAGTGACTTTTAACTTATTACCTCTGATTCTTCCAGATATCTCAAAATTGCATGCTTATTGGACAGTGTCATAGTGAATTAATAGCATTGTTTTCCTCACTGAAAGATTTTCACAGATCATAAATACTTTAAAAAATTTGAGTTCATAAATCAGCTTTCCTAGAGGTATATTAAAAAGCTTTTTAAGCATAGCAATTTAGTATATTTTAAAACATTAATTTCATACAGTGTTGTTTAATATGTCTTAACATTACTATTTGTTAAATGAACATTCAAGTTATAGTATTGTTTGCTCTAAAACATTTAAAATGTCAGTTTTTAGAATGTCATGTTTTGGCTTCTTATTGTTTGCTCTAAAACATTTAAAATGTCAGTTTTTAGAATGTCATGTTTTGGCTTCTTTTATTTATACCAGTTGCTAGCTGTTGTGTGCAGGACAGAGCTATTTCTCTTTTAAATCTTGAGGCGCCCTCTAGAGTGAAAGGTTAATACGATTTGTTAAGAAAGGAGTAGTTTCACACATTTAAAAATATTCGATCTATTTCATTCTGAGGGACAGACAGTTTGTTACTTAGAAATAGCAAAGAGCTGAACCTAAATTTTTTTGTTCTGAGTAAATATTCTTTTCAAGGATGCATTTTAAGTAACTGGAACAAAATAGAAATAAGCTCATTCACGGTAAAAATTTATTTTGTCTTGGTGTTTGCACTTTTCCCCAACCCCTTGTGAAACTAGTGGTACATAATTTTATTTTAAAATTGATTTTTTATAATAATAATAATAATAATAATAATAATAATAATAAACATCAAACTTTTTGTTGACCAATATAACGACTAAATTTATTGAAAGCCTATTACATATGTGATACTACATTTGTATTGAGGCATACACAGTGTAGAGAATACACTGGTAATTACACATTATTTCCACTGTCTAATATATCACAGTATGACTCATATTGGCTTTTGTATCAAAATTGTCTTTATTAATTAAGAATATTACTATTAATATATATTGCTTTTTTTATTACAGAAGAAAATACTCAGGAAACATCACAGGTGAAGAAAAGTTTGAATGAAAAAGTTTCTCTCTATAGAGGTGACATCACATTGCTAGAGGTAGATGCTATAGTCAATGCGGGTGAGTAGTTGATTTTTTTTGTGATGTAATTATTATATGAATATTTATTATTTAAAAATATTTTTCATAAATGAGAATATAAGTATTTTAGAGGAAGATATCCATCCTGACATAGAAATGTTTTATCTATTTCCCTTCTTGATTAGAAACATTGAAGATTTATTTTGTGTATGTGCCCCAGTTAATGTGCTAACTCTACATAGTATCCATGCTAAGTTGAGACTAGAATACTAGGCCACTGGAAAGTGACAGATTGTTGCAGAAAATTCTTCAGAAAGAAGTTTAGCAGCTGTGTTATTGTATTTTTATGCTTGAGTTAACAGTTAGCCAACATAAAGACAAGCTTTTTTCTTTAGAATAGGTTGAAAGAGATGATTAAACTATACCGGACAAAGTAAAATATAAAGAAATATTTTCTGTGATTTCCATATCTCAGTTGTTTGGTTTCAACTTTTCATATTGGTTATAAAATACTTAATTTTAATTATTTTTACAATTAAGTAATTTTTATGTTTGAACATTGGGAAAATAATGTTATTTATGGTGGTCTGAATCTCCTATATATTTTATTATGTGGCTGTATATCAAGAAATATATAAGAGTTGTGATTCTATAAAAATAAATGTTGGCTTTATTCAAAAACACCATTTCAATAAACAGAAGAAGACTATCACAGTAAGTAGTGGAAGACTATTGCAATAAGAAGAACCAGTTAAACCATGAGATCTATAAGCATCTCAAACCTCAAGCAGATAGGGCTTTTCTTTTATTGAGGGGTGTAAACAGGCTAGAAAGAATTGGGTGTGGAGTAATAAGAAGATTGGGTAGTATGACCGGACAATTGATCAGGGAATGTTTTTCCCTGAGGTCAGTTGATTCTTGAGACAGGTCATTAAGGAGGGTTTGGTTGTTCACCTTCCATTCTCAAGGATGAGCCAAAGCTCAGGTGCTTGGAGAAGAGAGAAGCCTGACTAAAATTTGATCGAGTCCAGGCATTGACCAACCAGAATGGTCAATGGAGACAAATAGTTCTGCTAATTATCTATGAGTCAGGAATTTGGAGGGTCTCTGAGCTGGCCTTGTTATAGGTTACAAGGGGTGACCTGTGAATTTTATCAAAGCCATATGGAGAAGAGTGGTTCTTTGCAGTAAGTTGTTTCCTGAATACAAAAGGTGGGGTTAATTTCTTGAATGTTTGTTTTCCAGGGGTATAGCATTCAGGTAAAGTTGAACTTTGTTTTAAGGTTCCTCCTAGTGATGACTAAATTCGCACAGGATAGTAGGAACACACTTTGGTAGGCAAACAAAAGGGTCCCTTGGAGAAGTGGAACATTGTTCATGACATAGCATAGTTCTGGCAACTTAGCAGGAAGTCTGGAAGCCTAGTAAGCTTGTTCCTCCCTCAGAATTGGCTATCAGTTGCTTTGTACTGTATCTGCTTTGCCATAACGAGAGCTCAGTTTTTCTCTTTCTTCTGATAGCCTCTGTAACTTCCTTTCTCCTCTGCTACCTCTCTACAAAGTAAAACCCTTTGTGAGAAGATCTATCTGGGTCATTTAATGTCCACACAATATGAATCACTCCTTTTAGATAGAATTCCATCTTCAGATCACCTCACAGGCTACAAGTCTCTCATATCTAGTCTCTATGGACTATTCATTTGTGGCCTGGTATCAAGATGGTTTTCTCTTATCTGTGGGGCCTCTGGAGAAGACAGGCACTTGGAAAGAGTCTCATGAACTTTTCTCCAGTACAGATATCACTTTAATTATTAAATTGTCAATGATTTATTATACCCTATATTCTATAAACATGTGAGCTTTAATTTAGAAAAAATTAAAAGCTCTTATATATATACTACCAAACTTCTTGTATATTCTTGTAACTTTTAGCCATTGATCTTAGTTTTGCCCTATGGAACAAAAGATGACATATATTTTCTTCTTAAATAACTGAAAACTTGTATACTTGTATATCTCTTAACAAGTATACATAAACAAATGTATACTTGTTTATCTCTTTCTTGAGGCTACAGACTGGTGTCTTTTCATTTTTTATATGATCTCCCAAAGCAATGGCTTGCTCTCATATTCTTAGTAAACACTTGATATTATATATTTGTTAAATTGAACTACATGCAATTGAATTTGTAGCACCTCTGACCCAAAGCACATTCAGCACTGGGGATTTGACACAGTGAATCAGTTTAGCTCTGATTTTAAAAATGATTGATTTCATCTATAAAGAAAAATAAAAAAAGTTTTAGTGGTACCTTTTATTGAAATAAAATGGTGTGAAACAGGAAAATATCACTAACATGAAAACATTCCATCACTATTTTGATTATTTGTCCTTACCTATATGTGTGATTTTTTTTATAGCTGCCACATAGTGTAAAAGCGTTTGATGAATCAATTTGAAGGCAGATGGCAAATTTTACCCACTCCCAAAAACTATTTGGCACCTTTACCTCACTTCTCTGGCTGAGATGATTACAATTTGGCCATGTTCTGTATCTTCCAAGGACATCATCGTCAGGAAGTTCCTGGATAGATAGAACAGAGATGCCAAATATACAGTGTAATAACTATTTACAGCTTTCTGCTGTGCAGTTTATTTGCATGGTGTGTAAGGAGAGGAACAGCTGTTAACCTTTGAGTTGAACAAGCCAACATGGCAGGAAACTCCGGAGCTGCCTCTAGTGAGAGGAGAATGAGAGGCAGGCAGTGCCTCCAGTCAAGGCACCAAAGCAACCCAGTCATCACTTTCTACCAGATTTCTAAAGTTCTCTTTCCATGTCCATATTATTACATTGGAATGCCTGGACTTAGTTGCCATGAATGAAATGATTTAATATCTTAATTTTTTCTTAATAAAATCTTTTTTGAATTTCCTTGGATTTCTTTAAATGTGACCCACAATGAGCCTCCTATATATTATATTCTTCTGTGTAGGAAATCATGCATATTTGATATATTTTAATAAAACAGATTTTGTAGGCAGTATGGGATACAGGACAGTAGCACAAGTTTTAGAGTCAGGCAAACCCAGGTTCAAATTCAGGTTCTCGTACATAGGGCCATTTTTTTCTAAACTTTTTATGTTGAAATAATTATAGGAAATTGCAAAAATAGTGCAGAGTCCTTTCTACCCTTCACCTATGTAAGCCTTCCTTAAAGGTGACATTTTAATATAATGCAGTATCGAAACCAGGAAATTGACATTGGCACATTACTATTAACTAGATTATAGACCTTATTGAGTTTTAACCATTTCAACTTGCATTTGTTTGTGTGTGTGTAGTTTTGTGCAGTTATATCTCATGTATAGATTCATGTAACTACTACCTCAATAAAGATGCAGAACTGTTCCATTATCATCAAAGAACTCTCTCATGTTATCCCTTTGTAGTGTCACCCACCTCTCTGCTCCCTTTCTATTCTTCATCTCTATGGTTTTATCATTTTAAGAATGTTATATAAATGGAATAGCATGTAAACTTTTGAGATTGATTTTTTTCACTAAACCTACAGCCATTGAGATCTATTCAGATTGTTACATGTGTCAATAGTTCGTTCCTTTTTCTGAGTAATAGTCCATTGCATGGATATACCAAAGTTTATTCAACCATCCACCCACTGAAGGACATTTGAGTTCTCTTCAGTACTTTGCTATAACCAATAGAGTTGCTATAAAGATGAATGTACAGATTTTTGTATGTACAGGTCATCCTATATGGATGATCTCTTTGCTGACTAGGTCCTTGTATTATTTTGTACTAAGCCTATTGGTCAAAGAGTCTTGGTCTTTGCTAGAGCTTGGGGGAGAATACATCAATCTAATTTATAGTTCAGTATTGTATTGTTAGAGACAATTTCACTTGTACAATATTGCTGAAAAATAATTTGTGGGAGATATGATTTTTATTTATTTGTGAATTATGGACTGTGTAATGAAAAAGTTAACTTTCCAACTCTATTGGGTTGGCTTTGGCTAAAGATTAATTCAATATACCATAAAAAGGATTTTTTACAGTGGAAAGTAAGTAGAATTGATTTGTTTATTTTAGTTATTCTTATACCCCTATCCCCTCAATAAGCCAAAGATGGATACATTTACATCGTGGTTAATCATAGAAGACTTGGAGTCTGATCAACCATTGTTTAAATGCCTCTTCAATTTCCCGGCCATATTACCTTTGGTAAATTATTTAACCTTTCTGAGCCTTAGTTTGTTCATCAGTAAAATGGAAATAATAATAGGGCCTGCTTCACAGGACTGTTATGAAAACCAAAAGAGATCATGTATACAAAGCATTCATACAGTGCCTAGTATATAGACACATTAATAAATGGTAGCAGATTTATACTGTTTAGTTCTAATGTCAGAAAAAAAATTTTCCTATGTATGTCACAAAGTGATTATGTATGTTTTTCAAGTCTTATGCACATACAGACATATGACTGACTAAAAGAGTTTATCCTATGTTCTACAACTTTAGCTGTTGTTATACTGTTTACCTGAGTTGTGTTCAGGAAAGGTTGTCCAATTCTGAGGGTTTATAATAAAAGCTCTTTCTACAACATTGTTGTTAATTTATATGAGCTAATGGCCAAGGGAAAAGAATTGTTTTAGTTTAGTGATGAAGTGTTTTTACTGCATTAATTGAATGCTATAATTGTGTCAAAAATGGAGAGAATGACATATGATTGGGTAATCATTTAATAGCTGGGTAAAAGAAAAGTCGATGTAGAATATCTGAATATTTATGTGGTGAATCAGGTAGTTTGATGGAAGAAATTTTACTTCATAGGGATTTCTTTAAATATTCACCTCTACTTGCTTAAAACAAATGTCAATTTTATGTATTTGTTCAATAAAAACAAAATAAGGCATATTTAAAATTAGAATTCAAATCATTGGGAAAATAAGTCCATTTACTTTCAGAAATATTTTAGGACAGAATTGATAGTGACTACTTGATTCAATATGAAATTCCA